GGGGCGGGGCTTAGGGGCGGTGCTTAGGAGGTCAACTGGCGTTTGGCTGGCGTTTGGCTGGCGTTCGTCTGGCGGTCAACTGGCGTCCGTTTGGCGTCCATCTGGCGTCAAGTTGGCGTCCGGTTAGCGTCCAGTTGCCGTTTGGCTGGCGGTCAACTTGCGGTCAACTGGCGGTCAACTGGCGGTAGACTGGCGGTCAACTGGCGGTCAACTGGCGTTTTGCTGGCGTTTGGCTGGCGTTTAGCTGGCGTTAAGCTGGCGTTCAGTTGGTGTCCAATTGGTGTCCAGTTGGCGTCCATTTGGCATCCAGTTGGCATCCAGTTGGCGTCCAACTGGTGTCCAGTTGGCGTCCATTTGGCATCCAGTTGGCATCCAGTTGGTGTCCAGTTGGTGTCCAGTTGGCGTCCAGTTGGCGTTCAGTTGGTTTCCAGTTGGCATCCAGTTGGTTTCCAGTTGGAGTCCAGTTGGCGTCCAGTTGGTATCCAGTTGGTGTCCAGTTGGCGTCCAGTTGGCGTCCAGTTGGCATCCAGTTGGTTTCCAGTTGGAGTCCAGTTGGCGTCCAGTTGGTATCCAGTTGGAGTCCAGTTGGCGTCAGGTTGGCGTCCAGTTGGCGTCCAGTTGGCATCCAGTTGGCCTTCTCGACCAATGGAAACGCTGCGTTTTGTCACTCTTTAGAAGCACAGAAGAAGAAAGAAAATGGCCGACCCGCCGTTCGACGCTTTCAAGTCCAAAAGACGTGCTGTTTACTGGCTTTAAAATCGACTTTTACTCTGTTTTCACTGTATATTTAGCTCTTTTCAGTACGTAAAAGTATCATTTTTTTGTTCTTTTTCACGTTTAAGTTAGTTCAGGTTTGTCTTCCTGCCACTCACGTTAACGACTGGATTCACTCCTCTGTTTTTATTATTATTTTTATAAATGTGTGTGAGCGTCTCCCGGATGGAAAGAGACGTCCTTTATCCTCCACTTCTGTTCAGAGAAGCGACCTGAAACGGGACCAAAACGAGAATGTTTCTCTCAAAAGATTGTAAAGACAAACTTATTATTAAAGAGAGGCGTAGAAGAGACGTTTATGTGCGTTTATGATCGATTTCGGCCCCTCGGAAAAGCATAATCCTCTGGAGTGGGTTGGATGGGGGATTGGGCTTTACTTTTTTTATCATATTTTCATTTTATAAAACGCTCTTAGCCTATTCTTTAAACACGGATTAGCTTAAGCCTCTTATGATATCGAGCACTACTCAGAACTGCACTGTGGTAACTTTACGAACGTTTTCCAGTTGCCTGCAGCATTGAAATTGTACATAAGATATTTATTGGGTGTGAAAAGAAGTTCCAGGCGGCCCTTTTGGGTCAGACTGTGGTCAGAAACACTGGACAGCGACCAAAGATGAGCATCGTGTGTCAGATCTGTATTTCGACACGCTCCCTTCATATGTCAGAGCCGCTTTCCAAAAGCAGGGAAAAGAAGGTCAGACTTACAAGAGTTTGGATTAACGGGACATTTTTATTTTCTAACAGAGACCTTTTAGAGGCTATTTCTTTTTTTTTTTTTTTTCCTTCTTTTTTTTACCATATTATGCGTAAAAGAAAAACTCCCCAAAGAGATTTAAGAGATTAAATTTGCTCATTTCCAACAATCTTTTAATGAATATGTGTCAGTTTCATATTAGTGAGCTGGAGGAGATCTGGATATTGGCTCAAAGAGGATTTTCTCTTGCTTCAAAAGGAGAAATTTATGGTCTAAATACGAATTAGAAACTAACATCTGGAAGAATTTAATATTTTATAACAGAATACAGAAATTTCA